CTCTTTTGAATGGAAATCTTTATTGCTGTGCTTTTCCTGTTCTTCCTCTGCTTTAATGCGTGTGGTGACAGCCTGTCGAGAGTGGCTGCCTTAAAGCCACAGGCCCCACGGCCCCGGCTCACGGCCTGAGATCGATAGATCGTGCAGATGTTCCGCACAGGAACAGTTCTTCAGGTGTTGAAGCCCAGCTGTGTTTGTACTTTTTGTGTGCCGTATCCTGCAGCTCTCCTCAGTGGGAAAATGCACCTTTGAATATGACTTGGAGGTGGAGGATTTCCACTGAGAATCAAAGCCAGACCGCAGCTCGTTCCTTAAGCTTGGAATGAAATTAAATTTCAAGATGGATTGATGTAGGAGGAGGGAAGTTCAGGTTTTTTTAACTTATCATGCCTTGACTTTACTGAGATGCTGATATGACCTCTGTGCTTTGGGCACCGGTGACATCCCTTTTCGGCAGCCCGCTTGCACAGCCAGCGAGAAGTCCCTCTGCTGCGTTGCTAAACTCGATTTCTCTGTGTGTGTGCTGGTTGCAACAGGTGTTATCACACTGCTGCAAACATGTCCTTTCTTATTATTTTTTTTTTGCCTACTAAGCAGTCTGGTCTTCATTTACAGTTAACCTGAATGTATGGTTGGTGCTCTGGGTGATACTGTTGTCCAGGAATGTTCTTTTAAAACAACCTTGACCTACTTTTTTTGCGCAGAACTGTGCCTGTGCAGATGGAAATTGTTTCTAACAGCGATTCTGAATGTTTTGCAGACCTGAGGTAGTTGCATGACTTGAAACCCTCTGCAAAAGTCTATCTGGCAGATGGAGGAACGCCGTTAAGCTGAGGGCACCACGCTCGTGAGGCTCAGACGTTCTCTCACTGCAAGTGGACAGTGGCAGAAGGGAACTGGGGTTTCTTCCAGGACGGTGTCATCTGCCCTCTTCTCAGAGACTTTCAGGACTCTTCATTTGGTTTTCTTTTTGCCAGTTGTCACCTGAAAAAACTTCAGGTCTTTTCATATCGAGTGGTGGTGTGCCTCCTCCTTAGAAGGACCTTTATTTCTTCATCCATGGAGACAATCCAATTGAAACTTATATTTATCCGACAGGCTGCTCTTCTCAAGAGGCAGCGGGGAGGCTGCAGGCAGAGCTGAGGGCTGGGGCTGGGAAGCTGCCGGAGCTGCTATTGTTCCACCAGCGGCAGCACCCCACTGCTGGAGCTCTCCGATATTCCCATGTTAGGAAGATAATCCAAATGTAACATGAAGCTGGCCCTATAGCTAAGACAGACAGTTCTGCCGCTCCTGCTGGTGGTAGCTCTGTTAACAACCAATTCCGTATTTATAACTTTGGCAACACTTAAGTTTTACACTGGTGATTTTACATTATTTTCACATGCCGTGCTGAATCATTGAAAGCACGTTCCCCCATCTATGCCTGCAGTTAGCACCAGGAGCTGAGACATCAACAAATTCTCAAGTGTAGAGTGTATGAAGCTGCAATAGAAGAAACTATTTGCATGGAAGGTCCAGAACTATTCTTGCAGAGCAGCTGTACAACGTTTTAACTTAGCACTCTTTCTGAGGGTGAGGAGACAGGTTCTGGAAAATTTTGCTTGAATAATATTAACAATTGCTTTTGGGTTCTGGTCTGTCTAGTAAATAAAGCATGCTGGGCTTCTGAACATGTGGCAGCGTTTTATGACTTCCGGAACTAGGTCCTCTCTGGCACTGGTTATTTACTGTAAAATGGAATTTAATATAAAATCACCGCACTTCATAACCGGCGGATGCCAGCTTGGGGTTGATTGCAGAGCTCTGCAGTTTTGTTTGTCACTGCTGGGCGCCAAGCTCCAAAAGGCAAACTCTGTCACCTCCAGCGTTTGAGCAAATCCAGTCGCTTTGACTGGGTTTGTTGATGCGCTGCTGCTGTGTTGAATTGAAAAGCTGTGTCAGGAGAGTTTGCCTCTGTGGCTGGAGGTCCTCGGCCCTGCTCTGCATGCCAACAACGTCTAAAACCTTCGCCACGCCACGTATCTCATCCATGTCACTCTGTATCGTCTGAACACGAACTGCTTTCCAGCTTTGCATCCTCCAGGGCAGCCGGTTTTGTGGGAAAATTAATACGTGATGAACTCCACTTCCTCTGTGAAATGGAGACTTTGTGCTGGTGTCGCTGGCTCTTTGGGTGTCCTATTGTTTGAGCAGCTAACTCTTCACTCTTTGTCCTTTGTTTTTGCGTTGCCCATTTTGCCATTTACAATTTCAGCGCTGTGCTAGAGACTTATTCCCATGTGCGAGGACTAATTTGGAGAAACAGCATAGTTAGGGGGCCAGACTATCGAGGACGAAGCCTTTGTGCAGTTCGTTACCCAGTGCTTTTTTTCGATGGAATGTATTTTATGATCTGCTTGTTTTGGCTTTGGAGGATTGTGCTTTTCCTGACTTTATTGTTATAAAGCCCCAGAGCCTGGCAAGCCAAAAGATTCCAGAAGAGATAGACAGTACTGCCTCTGGCCAAAGTCTGTCAGGTTCCTGCTCTCCGATGGGTGGATGTTGCTTGTGATACGGCTCTGCTTGCGTATGTTAACGGTGGAAGGAAAGCAGAGATATTCAGAGGGAATAACAGGCAAGATTTTGAGCGAGGAGAAATGAGGCTGGTAGGTTAGCGCCACCTATTCTGATCCTGAGCCTTGAGAAATTCCATATAATACAGTTACTTGACTTGAATTTCTAGAGTTAGAAGCTCAGTTGCCTTGTATGGGCAGAGAAGAAACTTGCCTGCTTCACCCTTACCTTCCCAGGGGTGATCCGTTGTGCTCTTCTAAGCCTCTGCAGAGTTGTTACTTGAGTTTGGATTATGTTTCTCTGAATTGCAGACCCGTGCAGCACGTTCCAAGGTGTCACAAAACGCTGACCATCCTTCTCGGTAGGAAATACTGACTTTATCTGGAGGGTTGTGTTAGTACCGGGTCAGCTTCCAGCTTGAAAATGTTTTTCAGCAATAGCTTTTCCCTGAAGTCATTGTGCCTTAGCAAGTGGTTTCACGTAGTCATTGGCGGTATTTTATAGAGTTACCTTAAGTCTCAGCGTGTATTCTGTAATCCAGCTGGAATTTTTGATTTGGAAGAAGCTGCACTTGGAACAGTTGTTAAAGTCCTTGGCAGAAACCCTTACCAACTGTGTCCTTAATGTGTTTAATGTATCAGTGTGACACCTGGTTAACTAGTTCTTCATTAGAAATTCCTTAATGTTAGCTGTTAAACTTTTACATAGATGCTATCCTTCAAAGTTTTTCTTTAAATACTTGCCAGTTCACTACAGAACGTCAGAACGTGACATGTGTGATGAAAAAGTTAATCGTAATTTCCCAAACAATGTCTGACAAGACGATGGCCTTAAAGAAGCCTCGGGCATACACGGCATGCAGGTGGATTCTTACTTTTCTTTACCCGTGAACGTACCAAGGGAGGAAGTGCACTGCAAAGAACTCAGTAACTAGCTTGTCAGTTGAGTTTTCCTTGTAGCTTATATAAATTCCAGCCAGACTTCTAATGAAACTGCTTATTACTGCTTTGAAAGAGGCTAGTGCATCTTGGGTCCTGCTGTTTGCTGTGCTTGCTGCTGTTCACAAAAGCAGCCACTTCAGGGAACAGCTTGTAATTTAACAATATTCTTGTTACAGATGGCCACTGTGCAGTACCCTTTGCAGCATGAATGGAGCTGCACATTAAGGGTAATGTCTGGTAACAGCAGCTTCTGAATGTGTATTTTTCTCCCTTATTTTCCAGTGTGTGCACATCAGTACCGTTGTACTCACGGAGCAGAAAGTGCTGGTTTCATTCTCCATCTCAGCAGTGTTTTGCTTTGCAGGAAGGTCCAAATGCTGTTGGGATGAGGTGGTTTTGTCTGCTGGGACTAGGTCAAATACACGTGCAACTTACTCTCCTTCTGCTAAAGGCATCTGCTAGGTATTTTTATCCTGGAGAGGCCACGTGCTCCAGTTTTGCTCCAGTTCAGCACAAGTATGTCAGAAGTAGTTAGTTATTCTGCTTAGAAGGGAGGGTTTGGCCTCGTTCTGATGGACAGGTTTTGACCCTTGCAGTAAACAGTCATCATCCTGTTTGTCAGCAGCCTGTGCCATTAAGGTACCTGCAGCCGAGGTGACGCCTTGGAGGGAAGGTGGAAACTGCTGTGACTTCAGGTAGCTAAAAGCTGCCGCTCCAGCAGGGGCTGTGCGGGGCTTGTGAATCCCCTGTCAGTAGGGAGCCTGCTCCAAGGTAAAGCAAGCAGCTCATCGCTGTCAAAGCCTGCCTGGGCTGAAAAAACATGCTTTCCTCTCTTGCTTTGCTGCATCCTGTTTCAGGAGAGGAGCAAACCCATTCTGTAACAAACCGAGTGCTCTGCTTCCTTTTCCACCTTCACTTCCAGCAAAGTTTCTTGGCCATCTTTGTAGGGTTTCCTAGGTTGGAAATGCTGCGAAGGACTAAGTAGCAAGCTGCATGGATGGCAAGGAGGTAGTTACCATGGGGAGAAAGGAAACATATTATTAATTTGGAGATCCTTCCTCTCTTAAAAACTTCCGGTGCAACTTGCCCTCTTGACAGATGAGCTGCTGGGCGTCTTTTCTGTGAAAGCTCCATATGTCCATGTTCACTGATGCGACGTGGTCGCTACCGTGCGACGCTTCCAGCATCTCTAGAGAAACTGCTTGGGTATCGGTGTGAGGAACCGCTTTGGGGTTGTTAACAAGATGCTGTTTTCTCAAAATGTTCTAGCTCCTTCAAGTTGGAAAAAGGTAAGGAAAAATGCGCTGTCTTATGAGATGACTTCATGCACAGTGGGCATGATTAGCTGATGCGAAATGAATCTCGCTTTGAAACAGCTGCCTGTTGTGAGCCCTGAGGGGCTGCCCCCATTTGGGGCATTTTTCTCTCCTGTTCTCCCAGCTGGGTGGGCGGAAAGTCTGGCTTTGAGCTCTGTAGTTTTAATTCCGTGTTTCCTGTTCACAGGGTCACCTTGTCCTCCACGGACTGTTACATTGTGCATGAGATCTACAATGGCGAGAACGCTCAGGACCAGTTTGAGTACGAGCTGGAGCAGGCCCTGGAAGCGCAGTACAAATACATAGTGATAGAGCCCACTCGCATCGGGGACGAGACGGCTCGCTGGATCACTGTCGGGAACTGCCTGCACAAGACCGCCGTGTTAGCGGGCACCACCTGTCTCTTCACCCCCCTGGCACTTCCAGTAGATTATTCTCACTACATCTCTCTGCCTGCCGGCGTGCTGAGCGTGGCTTGCTGCACCCTCTATGGGATCTCTTGGCAGTTCGATCCCTGTTGCAAGTACCAGGTTGAGTACGATGCCTATAAACTGTCTCGCCTGCCCCTGCATACGCTCACCTCCTCCACTCCGGTGGTGCTGGTGAGGAAGGACGACCTGCACAGAAAGAGACTGCACAACACGATAGCACTCGCTGCCCTGGTGTACTGTGTAAAGAAGATCTATGAACTCTATGCTGTATGACTTCAGCAGGGAAGAGAGAAACCCACAAAGACAAGTGTATTAAGACTCCCACAGTAACATTTTGTTTTTTCCTCTTTGAGAAGCAGTGGAGACTGGGAAGGATTTGGTTTAATAGAGCTGTTATTTTTAAAATAACACATCACTGGTGCACCAAGGTTTTTCAGTTCTTCGTTACACTTAAGATGTGGACGTGCGGTGACTTGAGAGCTGTATGTTAGGCCGTGGGAGTCCAATCCAGCAGCAGAATGTCGGTGAAAGCAAGCTGTGGAAAGAGGGGGCGTGAGAGCTACTTTTTTTTTCTTTTTTTGGGGGAAACATTTAAGTATATTGTTTAACTGTATTACACAGAACCAGCCAGAAGTTATCATTGACCATTAAAAGATGAGAATTTCAAATGCTTTTGCTCTCTTGTTACTGTTATCATAGTTCCCTTTTCTAGTGTGCTTCCAGGGGCTGGAGGCTTTGCTGTGAGAACTCCAGTGGTGATAATTATTTATGCGTGCTCACGCACAGACCTGATATTCCTCTAGTCCATTGCAGGTGGCAGCAGCATCATATGATTTCACAGCAGCCGTCTGTTGAAGGGACAGCTGTAGAGTGTTGCTTTCCCTTGTGCTTTACTAGTTGTGTTTCTTGGAAGAGGCTTACTCATTACCCTGGTGGTTTATCTCTTTGGTCATTGCTTCAGCATTGATGGTTGGGGCTAAAGGTGTCCCAAATCTTTTGCTGCTCTGCCACCTCCAACCGCTACTTCTGTGCACAGTGGAGAGAAGGCTCTTAAGTTTTCAGCTGCAAACACATTCTGCTCAGTTCCTGTACGGATCCTTTCTGAAATCAGTGGTACCATGTGCGGCTGAGGGCTGCCGAGCTGGGAGTCTGACTCTCTTACCTTCGAGCTTTGTGCTGACACTTGGCTGTGCCCTGACTGCACGATCTCGTGGCTCTCGCTTGGGGGACGCGTTTCTGGAGCTGCCTACTGCTGTGCACCAAGGTGTCCACATGATTGTATCTTCTGACTGCATTAACTGAAATTTTGGAATTCAGTCTTGCGCATTAATTTATCCTTTAGCTCAAAGCTGTCAAAATCTTGTTCTCAGAATGGGAGATATTTACTGTTTTGCAAGACCTGCCAGTTACTTCCAGAAGATAGGGGCTCGCTTTCTATAATCTCCTCCTACCAGATGGAAAATAGGCGTGGCTTGTGTTTGCAAGGCAGCTTGGCACAGCTTCAAGTGTTACGATCTGAACACAAGAGTGAAGCCCTGTAATAAAAACTGTCTGCACACAGGTGTGCCGCTGGCTTCAGTGGTAGCTGAAGCATTGACCTTGGGAAGGGAGTCTCATGAGGTCAGAAACCAAATTCAGGAGTTCTATCTTTATCTTCCCAAATTGCAACAGCAGGCACAGAGAACCTCTCGCCTCCAGGCTGCAGCAGGCTTTTTCTGGCTGCGGTTCTGGCTTGTCCTTTTCTGCTGATGCAGCTTTTGTGTTGGCAGGGCACGCGGCCCAGTTGTGTGTGTGTGTGTGTGTGTGCCTGCGCTGTGCGGACAGGGTTTGCCGGGACTTCTGAGCAAGTACTTCTACCGCTTGCGCCGGTGGCCGTACCTCAGCCGGTGCACGGGCTGGAGGAAGCTCCAGTGGCATCGAGGCATTTCTCGGTGGTGACAGCCCTTCGCCTCTTTTGCTGGTATGGTGGCTGAGTTGTCTCCCTCCAAGGTTAAAAGAAGCCGGGATCCAGAGCGTCTCTATTTATAGCAACAATGTACAGTTGCCTTGGCAGAGAGAAGGGGAAGAAATGCGACGACTTCGTCTTTCTGCGGTCAGGCCAAGTCTGCTGGGCAGGCTGCCTCTCGAGTCCTGATGCTTGCTGGATGAATTTTAAACTAGTGGCAGATCTGCCATGGCAATAGGTGCTTTATTGCTGCAGAAAGCCAAGATATCCTTGCACCAGCCACAGAAACAACAGTGCTGCTCTTTTCTTAAGCAGTGCAGAATAACTGTCCGGCTTGTTTAGTTCTTCACCAAATCTCTGTAGGCCTGGCCCTTCCATTTGCCTAGAAGGAATGCTGTGGCAGGAGGACTAACCCTTGGTAGGCTCCCTAAACATGTGGCTTGCACTAGAGATGAGTTGAAAATGAACAAGTTTCCTGTGGCCTCTTACTCGAGGGGGAAAGTTGTAAAGTCACCTTAACTGTCACAACAGGTAGGTCTGTTTAAAAACCACAGCCTAATCCCATTTTGAGGTGGAGAGGACATAGATAGGGGCTGGTGTGCCAATAATTTGTGTTTTCCAAGAAATATTAGTGATAATATAGCTAAAATTCTTGGTAACATCCTGGCTGTTAGTAAGCCAGTGCTGTAACTCTGCGAGGTGACTCGGGAGCATGAGGGGTCTCGAGGGCCTTGTGTTTCCCGTGCGTTGCCTGTGACAGTCGCCGCATCTGCCTTCCCCACTGCGCTGGCAGCTGTGGGTTACGGCAGCTGGGGACAATCCTCCCTGTCAGAAGCCTCACACGCTTTGCTGCCCATCCTCACTGTTACGGAGGTGCTCTGAAACAGAGTGTGCTGCACTCCTTGTCACAGAGAGGAAATTTCCTTTGGAAGGGGAACAGGCACACTCTCCATAAGCTCCAGCTTGGAGCTGTAGTTCAACCAGTAACTACAGTAACTGCCTGCGTGTAATTTCCTTCCTTAGGCCTGATGTCTTGCAGCGCTCGGCACCCTGGATGATAACACAGAAATGCTAAGTGGCTCCTCGGTCCTTCCTGGGTACCACGACACCAGAAGATGGAGCAGCTGGACAAGACTGGCAGGAGTTAACTCTGTTTTGCTGAGAAATGGAGGACCTGAACATGCGAAACACAAAAGGAAATGCACAACTAATGGTTACAGCAACTCCCGTTGTGGAGAGGGAGAGAAGGTAATGCCTTGGTTTCCTATCCTAATGGGAAAAAGAGATAAAAGGTGAAGCTTTCAGGCATATGTAACTTCAACCCTAGGCCTTCATGTAACAAATGTGCAGCCACAGCTGGAAATGGTAGAGGGTGTCCTAAACTGCTCAGTAGTATTGTGATCATTAAACACATCCTGGTCATCATCTGGGAAGGATTCTCAAGAGATTATTTATAAATCCATAATGGTCAAGAGAAGGCTTTTTGAAGAAGGCCCTGTATCAGGATTTAATGTGACTAATCCTCTCTGTGGATTCACACTATGCTCACTGTAAGCTAGCAGAGAATGTAAAGAGGAATGGGATGAAGTATATTGTTCCCTCACTACTACGAGTAAAATAGCACCTTGTAGGAATGTAAGAAGAGCCAAATCCTCCTGCTGTCCCATCCTCTGTGAGGAGGTGAAGCAGAATGAAAGATTATTTTTGTAGCAATGTGATTTATTTGTCACCAGACGTGCACTCACAGGCAGGACATCCAAGGCAGTACTCATGGAAAACGCTGGGAAGTGCGTGGAGGTGGCAGCAGGGGTCTGGACCTTGGTTCCTACTAGTAAACTTTATTCCAATTTTAAGTTAGAAAAGATTATTTCTGTCCTATCTCTTGTGCAGATGCTTTTTTTTTCTACTGATGGTGGTATCCCTCACGTGAGGAGACGGGGTGAAGAACAGCATGTGGTACTTCCTCAGGCTGTCAGGCTCCCTGAAGCCTGTGAGACACGAACAGACAGGTGCTGTTCCCCCATCCGATGCCATCCTAATTAACACCTGATTGTTTTAAACCAGAGGAGAACTAAGGGACTGTCTCCTACACCAGCCACCCCGTGCATGTTCCCCTCTGCTGGCCAGGACAGTGTGCCTGGCACCTACAGAACTGCACCAACTCTGTGTTCTAGGCCTGCAGGGACCAGGGCTGCTGCTCTCTGCAGCGCAGGGTTTGCACCCAATGGCGCACCTTGCTTGGGCTCTTTTCTAGCTGGGGTTAATGCTGTACTGGCAGGTCGCAGAGTTAAACGTCCCGGTACATCAGTAAGGCGTGATTCAGACAGAGAAAGTAATTGCCAAATCAAACTTCAGATTTTACAACAGTTACTTGTTTGCAAATGGCACTGGACTCGCTGTTGGCTGAGGTATCGGATGATTTGGCAAGTTAACAAGCAGAGGCTCTGTGAAGTTCCCCCCTTCAAGCAACGTGTTCTAGATCGAGTGGGAAGGAGACACAGATTGCGAGGACTGTTTCACAGGGGCTGTGGGGTGGGGAAAGCTAAGATCTGCTTGTGCGAAGGCAAACCAGGCAGTTTTATTTGCAGCAGGCCAGTTAAGCTGAGCAAGATGAGGTGCTCTCTTCCAGCACATGGGCCTCCCCTGCTGCAAAGCATGTTCCCTTGAGTTACCCTCCCCTGCAGCCTCAGCTCTCCCCCTTTGTCCAAGCACCCTTCTTCAGGTGAGGTTTAGGTGCTGTCTTCCAGCAAGTGTGGGGAAATCCCTTCCCGCTCTCCATGCAACGGTAACTGCAGCATTTTAAGAAAGGTTTTTCCTGCAGGAGCACCTCCACTGACATCCCAGCCAAACTGCAGGGGGTTACACTCTCCCTACAGTTACTCATGGACGAGCTGAGCTCTAAGAGTCCTTTCCTTTTCTCTCCTTTCTCGCTCGAGTTGCCATTAGGGTGAAGAAGAGCCTGGGGAAGAGGTTTCGCAGGTAGACAGCCAGGGAGGGCGTTAGGCCAGCTACGAGCACCTCCTTCTTCTTCTGTCCCACTGCACTGAGAACAACCTGAGCAACCTCGGCGGCCGTCTGTCCCTCGGCGGTGTTCTTGTCCATAACTGCCAAAGGAAAACCGAGTAAGTGCCAGCACCAGCAGGTAAGGCCATGCTTCGGGACTTTTCCTGGAATGCTCTGTTCTAACCGTATGCGGCTGCTCGCATGGTTTTGGTTTTTACACCAGTTGTGTCTGGGAGCACAGGCAAGTATAATTGATCGTTGGGCTAGAAGTCAGTAGCTGCTGCCTAGGAAAGGCTAAATCTGGGGGGGTTACTGTGCCTACCCT